GCACATTAAGAGAGTTTTTACAATAGTTACATATAGCTGCATATACTGAAAAAGTCTCAGCATATTTTGAGGCAGAAGATAACAGGCAGGGTTTTTCACTAAATACCGTATTTTGTATGGATGGACAAAATCCAGCGAAAATACAGAAACTCTGAATAGAAACCCTCATATTTACTAAAGCCAAATACAGTCTTATTTCAGTCAGCCCGAGCGAATCTGCAACCATAGCCTGGATGCATTCGTTGTCTGGATTCAAGTCAGTGCTTAAGTGATAAGTTGAAATACTACTTGCCCACTGGAATCATTAGCAGATAGTGGACAAAAATTTTAACAACCCTCGGCCATGTGAGGGTTTACCATGAGACGGTTGGCCAGAGTTTGCTAGCCAGCCGCCGCATTAAGAAGTATTTAAGAAAAAACAAAACAATGAATAAATAAAAAGCCTATGGGGGTCAACAAGACTCAAATTACTATAAGAGAGGTTTAAAACAACCTTACGCCACCACTTGCCAGGTGGCAGGAGAGGGTATATCTACCAAAAGTTTAAAATTAGTGACTGGCGCGACAGATTGTGAATATGCATGAAGTATGGAATTTTATTAATATTGGTGCTTTGTGAGCCTTCCGAATTCCATACTTTGCATAGGATTTGGATGAGAAAGCATCATTTTAATCTGAAAACTGCATCCTGGCAATTGCTGGAGATTCGCTTGAGCCAGTAAATATGAGAATTGCCATTGTAGTCAGAATTTGGTCATTTACACAGGATTTTGGCCATCCAGACAAGATCAAGTATTTAGTGAATAAACCTGTCATTGTCCAGAGTAATCATACTTTGCTCACACGGAACATGAAATAGATCCAATTCTTGAGTCTAATAGACATGTGCATTAGTTTTCGGTCGTTTTTTGTTTCAGTTCTTTCGTTTAATAGACTCCGTACTGCAGGGGAATTAGCACGGATGAGAAACAAAAACAGCTGGTTCTCCTTGCAGCCTGAGACTTAACCAGGGCCGGACTGGGAACAAAAAGCAGCTTTGGAAAAAAATTCTATACCAGCCCGATAATGCATCGCGCCAGCATAGTGTGCAGATATGGAAGCGGGAAAGAAAACTGAAAACTATCACTCAAACATGAGAGAAAGCACTCACAGGGCTTCAAAATAAACAAAAGAGTGTATTTGTTGTAAGCGGACGTGCATTTGCATATAATCAATGTTTCATTCCATTTTCTTGATATATTAAAAAAAAGTTTGGTAATTTGGATTTAAATTGTGAATGTATGCTATTGCACAGCAGCAAAAAAATTCAGTCAATGCCAATTCAATTCCCATAGGAAAGCAATGGGGGACTATTGCGCATGTGTGGCAAAATGCTGCACTTCACCGCACCAATCAGCATCTCCTCATAGAGATGCATTGCATCAGTGCATCTCTATGGGGAGCGATCAGCGCCTCCATGCAGAGTGTGCAGCATTGGACTAGGAAGCATCTCTAGTGGCCGTCTGAGTGACTGTCACTAGAGGTGTTCCTAACCAGCAATGTAGACACTGCATTTTCTCTGAAAATGTCACATTTACAGTGCTCAGTCTACATGGACAGGCTATAGACACCAGAACATTTTTCTCTCACCGGTCGACTCTGACTTACCGGGAGAGCAGGAGACACAAGTGAAGATGCATTTTGTTTGTTTCTTTCTTTCCCCTTTCATGTGTCTCTTAGCCCCAGCCCCATTGTTTCTTTCTCCCTTTCCCCAGCCCTCCTGTGAGTCTCTTTCCTAGGTCGCAGCACCTCTATGTGTATCTTTCCACACAGCTCCTCTGTGTGTCTCATTCTCCCCTTTCTCAGCTCCTCTGTGCGTCCCTTGTTCATCTACCTCAGCTCTTCTGTGTGTGTCTCCTCCGTGTGTCTTTTTACTCCCCAGCCCCATCATGTGTCTCATTACCCCACATCCCTCCATGTGTCTCATTCCACTCTCTCTAGTCTTCCATGTGTCTCAGTAGCCCCCACATTTGTCCCATTATTCCCCAGCCCACCATGTGTCCTATTAGCCCTCCCTCCATCCATATAGCCCCCCCAGACCTCCATGTGTTCCACTAGCCCTTCCTCCCAGACCTCCATGTGTTCCTATAGCACCCTCCCAGCCCTCAATGTGTTCCTATGCCCCCTTACCAGCCCTCCATGAGTCCCTATACCCCCTCCCAGCCCTGTATGTGTCTCATTAGCCCTCCCATGTGTCTCAGTAGCACCCCATGTGTCCCATTAGCCCCCAGCCCTCCATGTGTCCCTATAGCCCCCTTCCCCGCCCTCAATGTGTCTCAATAGGCCCCCTCCCAGCCCCCATGTGTCCCATTAGGCCCCCTCCCAGCTCCCATGTGTCCCACTAGCCATCCCTCCTAGCCGCCATGTGTCCCATTAGCCCACTCCCAAAACTCCATGTGTCCCTATACCCCCTCACAGCCCTCCATGTGTCCCTATACCCTCCTCCCAGCCCTCCATGTGTCCCTATATCCCTCTCCCAGCCCTCCATGTGTCCCTAT